CACAACTATGACGTGTATAAATACGCCTTTTTTGCGTTATTACGCCTTTTGTTTTCGCGTTATAACACATTTTGAGTCGCGTTATACACCTTTAAATTCTAAAATTCTATTATTATGCTTTGGTACCAACCTTAACCGAACATACAATATTTTTGTTTTTGATAATGATACGTGTATGTTCCAAGTTTCAACATTATTTGCACATCTAATAGAAAATAAATATTGATAGTAATGCTATCTCCCAAGTCGAAAAATTTGCATTTAACATTTTTAAAAAAATCGCTATTTTAATACAAAAAGAAAAAAAATCCGAATTTTGATATATCAATCGAAGAAGATTTTTGAAAATTTAACATCAATATCAATGAATTGTATCCTAATGTACATTATATAAACTTGTAGATTGCTTTACTTTAAGTCATCCTTTTGGAATAATTTATTAATTCGACACATTCATATGACTGTCGTAAATAATTCCAAATTGTTTCTATAAATAGAAAATTTACATAATTAGAAGTAAGTGAATCATAGTGTTAGTGTGCGACATCTTTAACAACTCTAGATTGTGTTTGCTATTTATTACCATGTCCATAAAGTTATCATCAGTGATGCATATGTGCTCTTGTGTGGTAGCTTTATAAAATATCTTATCTGATTGTAAATACTGTAAGCCGTTTATGTAAACATAGAAACTAAAGCAATCGTTTCTATCTGATACAAATTTAATTTATTTAACTTCATTTCTTGTTCGTTGATTTGAAAAACAAATTAATAATAACCGTCATGAAATCAATCTCATTACTCAATTTTATAATGTATTTACATACAATTTTAATTATTGTAATAAAAGGTATCATTGGCCTAGTTGTGAAGGCGTCCATCTTCGGATCGGGAGGTCGAAGGTTCGAGCCCCACGGTTAGTGTTGATTGAATCCAAAATGGCCGCTTAGTGAGCCGCGTGGCATTGTGGTAGGAGTTGGGAGGTACATGGTATGCAAGCAAAAGGTGTCTCATAAGTCAGAAAAGGCTGACTCTTTCAGTTGGGGTGACACAATAATAAACACACCTTTTATTTGCGGGTCATAGTCTCTCGGGTGACAACCTTGTAATGAGGTTTGATATTCTGGCATATTGGAGGTGTCAGGTTCAATACCCTGCTTGCTTGAACAAAAAATCATTATTAACTAGAATTGCATTCTGTCTCTTTTGACTTTCCGCATTAACGGGAACTGGTCTGTCCTGTATTAGTTAAATGGGTAGAATATCATGTTATTGTTTCTACAGTAATATCAGCGAGGCAAGAATTTGTTTAGATTTGTTCTTATTGTTATATGTCACAACCTCAAAAGGTCATATGCTTTTGGCAACCAATAAGTTGGAACAAGCAATATATCTAAACGTTAAAACGATGTATAATTTTCATTGGATTGGTGGAAAATTGCTACATTGTTTCCTGAACAACACAATAAAACAAAATACAAATAGCTGTTGTTGTTTTGTTGGGTTGGTTTTTGTGCTTGCTGTTGTTTTGGGTTTTGTTGTTGATGTTTTTGTGTTTTGCCATCGGCCGACACATACAGTTCGTATGTGTCCGATATGTAAATCAAGTTTATTCTTATACATTACCCACTAATATCTGTTCCCTTTTAGGCAAGAAAACGTTTACGAATATTTAGATAAGTTTAAGAACTCAGTCCATTAGCGCCGAATCATTGTCAATATGTACATGAACTGTTTTGGAAATTTCCCATTACGAACTAGTGTTTTTTTTCGTTGCCGTGCACAGTTTATATACTATTTTTTTTGTTTTTATTGGTAATAAATTCTCAATACATGATTTTGCATACCATTAACAATCCCTTCAAATTTGATATGATGTATATGTATAATTTTATTTCACTTGATATTTTTTCTTATTTTTGTTGGAGTTTCAAATCATGACAATTTCAAGGTAATACGTTGAATTTTTAATATCTTCGACGTAATTATCAGTAACTATTAAACAATTGTTGTGTATTTTTTCTGAAAATTAGTGTTTAATTATTAATAAACAGCGGATTATTTTCTACTTTTTTTCAACATTTAATTATTTTGAGGACAAAATTTCAGCCATGATATTTTAGATACGACATGTCAACAGCGTTTTTATCCTCTAATTCTTAGTTGGAAATATGTAGTTTTACCTATTTCAAGTGAAGAAGATATACAAACTTATAATTTTAGCATGGTTTACGTATCGGTCATGCATAATGTATAAATGGAAAAATACATTTTAGAATAATGTGGTGAAAGAGGAATGAAATCGTGTCCAAACCCAACATTATTCCAAGCTGCAATGACATCTACGGGTTAAGAGATGATGTGACTCAATCTTTAATAGACTTTGATATTATAGATGGATAACATAGACAAATAATATAAAAGTCATCATGTCGATCAATAATTCATGCCTTTGATGTATCGTTTCAAATTATTAAAGTTTCACAATGTTTTATATGGCAGGAGAAAAACTTTTGCCTACCATGGATTTTCCAAAAAGAAAAATTATATCATTTGTGTTTTATTTCGTAAAATTCTTGTTGAATGTACCCTGAGCCAATACTGGAGCTTAACATCCGGAAAAACTCCCTCGCAATTACATTAACCTTCGTAAAATGAACATTGTTTTCATAACACTCATATGTGCCGCGCCATGACAAAACCAACATAATATGTTTGCGACCAGCATGGATCCAGACCAGCCTGTGCATCGGCGCAGTCTGATCGGGATCCATGCTGTTCGCTTACAAATCCTATAACAAGTAGAGAAACTGATAGCCAACAACATGGATCCTGAGGTTGGTCTGGATCCATGCTGGTCGCAAACCCATTATTTTGGTTTTGTCATGGCGTGGCTCATATACAAAATGACTGCCAACAGAACCGCAAATTCAATTTTAGATATGGTAGATTGCTACCTTGGTATAAAACTTGTAGATTAATAACGTGAAAAAGCGACATTAATGTGTTTGGTCAAATGTTCTATAAATCTACATCTATTTGTAGGTAGATTGATTAATTAAGAAGAAAGGCACAAACAACTTAAAGGTTGCTGCTCGCGTATGTCGTCCTGCAACTGATACAACTACAAGTAAAATCAATCTTATCGGTTTACCTGGATCACAGAGTTCGCTTGAGGATCGAGTCAGAGACACCTTAACTACAAATCTGATGTTCTCCCTACTCAGCTAAGCGGGCCGACTGGGCACATTGAGACCACCAAAGATCCAAAGCGTTGTAGTTTTGCAAAGAAAATTAGGACAATGAAAACTGTTTTATATGTAATTTTCATGAACGTTCATTTTATGCAAATTATTTACAGTTAAGTTCTTAAGAAATGTTTTCCCACAAAAAATTGAAGGACTACTATCATAAAATTTGTAACCCAAGTACATCCACATCTTACATGACAATGCAGGTGCACATAATGGACACGCTGTGACAATGATTGTGGCGACTGAGTATAAGTAATCGTCCATCTTCAGCCTCCCTTTTCCCAAGAGATGGTCCGCTGTTTTAAAAATTGGATTGGTAGCTTGGGGCTGATGGCGAGCATTTTGAATGACAGGAGAAGGTATACCTTATCAAAATTTAAATTATATCTAATGAGAACATCACACGTATATAAAACCTGTGTGTTAATTCTACAACTTTACTGCATTTGGTTGTTCGTTCATGCGTTTGTTTGTTTGGGTTTTTGAAAAAGTTTGGATTGATCCAATGTTGAAAAAAATGTTTTACAAATTTGTTATAATAAATGGGAAAACAAATCGTGAAAGAATTTACTTCCTTTGAGGTCAATCAATATATAGATCTCTATCACAGTAAGTAAACTGGCATTTATTCGGCCAGTATGTCAATTGCAATGTTAAATAAACTTGACTTTGACCTAGACAAGTATATAACTTATAACTTATGCAAGTGCATGTCAGATATACCAACCAAGAACGCCAAGTAACCATAATTACAAATTTAGAATTAATTTTATGAAATACTAAGAAAATACAGGGTATAAAAAAGAAACACAAGTAGTCTAAACTATTTAGCAAAATATTTACATCATACGTTTCTTGTTGTTGTTTTTATTTATTTATTTATTATTATTATTTTTTTTTTATTTATTTTTTTTTTGGGGGGGGGGTTATTTTATTTTTCTTTTCTTTGTCTTTTTTTTCCTTCCTTTTTTTGTTGTCTTTGTTGTTGTTGTTGTTGTTGTTATTATTTAAACTTTCATTACTTTGCTTCTCTTAAAAGGAGCTATAGTGCGGTCCAAAAGCCTAAAAAAGTTGAATTTCTTATCTCAACTGGTACAGATAAGAGCTCTGCAAAAGAGAGTTGAGAACTACTCAGAAATAAATATAAATTTAAAACCTTTTTTAGTGCTTAATTAATCCAAAATTGAGTGAAAAGCATTAAAACGCTTTTCATTTTTTGGTCAAATTACACAATATGAATAATTATTCTGCAAAAAATGGAGCGAGTGAACAGATCTGAACACCGGTTATTAGTCTAGAACTATGTCTACATCAAATGAAATATCAATCTCCAAATTTTTTTTCAAGTACTGTCTTGTCAATAAACCTCGGTGGGGTCCCTTTAGTGGCTTGCAGTGAAATATCATCTGATCTACATTTTAAAAGGTTTTTGACATTATAAGAGATCCTTAATGTGAACTCATGCCATCCTGTGAATTGATACTGTTTTATCATTCGATTATAAATAGCGGACGAATTTCGTATCAAAACTGTCTGAAACATGTCGGTTAATAGTTCTTTTAAATGTCTTACTTTTGTTTTAATCGCATTCCCTTTTGTTGCCTTTCTCATTTGCATACACAGTTGAACGTTATTGGTCGATTATTGAACGACACGAATACATCTAGATAAATGAACCAGGTAAAGGACGTGATATGGAAATTAGAAAGTTTGATTTTCACTCATGATACACTTGTGTTTATTACCCGGCGGTGTGTAAGGGTCAGTATTTAAAGAAAAATGTCTCCGAAAAAAGTCGAGTTGTTTGAAAGCGCCAGCCGCAGTTTGGCACGAGAAACGGGCATACCACCTCGCTAAGCTTCTGACTGTCTGGATCGAAATGGAGCTTGGTGGCGATTCTGCAAAAGTATTTGACCCACCTCCACCATATAATTTACAGGTAAGAAAAACTTTATATGATATCTTAATATGAAATTATAATCAATGTGTAATCGTTTGCATGAATATTTAAATTTCAATATATCTCATGTTAACATTAATACGATGCATCTTAAAAACAATGATAAAAGTAAAAGTATTGAAAATATATTAGTCATAGAAGCTTACGGATATGCTCAAAATTAACTGAACAATAAGTTTGTCTTAATCGCATTTATTTTTATCACAATTATACAAGTACAAAGTATATGGTTCTAAAGAAATGTGATTAAAACATTATAATGTTTACAAAGCAATGCATCGGACACTTTGTATTTTGATAATAAAATGAAAATAATTTCATTTTGAAGTTTTGAGTTCTTTCATTTTTAAACTGGCATGTGATAGTGTGTGGTTTTGCCAAAATTACCTTCAAGCAACAGTAAAAGCTAATACAGTGGCACTTCCCGCTCCATGTTTTAACAGGTTAAACACTGTTTATAAGTTTATTGGGAAATCGGCATAAAATACCATTTACTAATACAAAGCGATGGCCAAGGTATCAAACTATATACAGAAATAACACTAAAGATTGCAATCAGAAAAACACATCTATATAGATTAACAATTGCAATACAAAAAAATGAACTAGGATAATTCACATTTTTTATTGAAAACAAATATTTGAAATATAATAAGGACTTAAGAAGCAGCAACATTTGCAATTATTTCAATTTTTAATTTCATAGCCTAATAAACATAACTTGCTTTGTTTCTTATAGTAGTATTGTTACTAGAAGATAATATTCCACAAAATTTGTTCAACAATGATAAATAAAAAAAGTGAACCTATATCAAAGTCATGACAATTATGTAAAAGAGCATGAGGAAAGGTCGTTGTAAAACCATGAGTAGGGAAAACAATCAAAACAAGCATTTGGTTTTAAAGATTTCAGTTGTTATATAACATATAACAAAACTACTAATTTTTTAACTGATTTCACCCAAAATTGTCTGTATGAACCATATTATATTAATGCAAATATATAATCAGATAATCATAGGTGAATATTATCAGTCAAGCGTTTGCTTTACTTCAAATTCCAACTGTTCTAAATATTGTACACGAATACATGTAACAAATAATTGCACATTATTTATTAAGGCAATTGCATTTTGATATCATAAAATTAAAACATTATTCATGATTTAGTGAACACAAATTTCTAATAATATTAGACGCGACTGGTACATTTGCATTTTGATATTATTTAAGTGTATTAATTGAACGCACGATTGCTTCTGATGCATATTATGCTACGGTTATGCGTCATGTTTTTCATGTTTTCCTGTTTCGTGGTCTTACATATTTCTAATGATAATAAAAGCTTCAAATCACATAATACACTTTTTAATTGAAATTTATAAAGTTGGGACAGCAAGCAAAAGAAAATGGAAATTGTAAAAGAATGGGAAAATAGAAGCTTTCATTTATATAACTACAACTTTCATGTTCCGGTAAAATTTTATAATATATATTTTATTCTTTCTTAAATAAATAGTTATCGAATGTTCTTTATAATAAAATTATAGTGCAAACGTAGGAGATGTTTTATAGCACGAAATCCCGTACAACATCAATAACAATTATTAAATTATATTAAATCATCATTACATAAGTTTTTTCTGCAAAATATTATTTTATAATAAGATATAGTGTAATATTATACTATAGTCTTCATGAATTTTCATATTCGTTTACAACTGATTTTCAAAATTTATATTTACTTTTATTTGTTTCTTTTTTAAATTTCATTTTATTTTACTTCATTTATTTATTTTTATTTATTTTATTGACATCTCTATAAAAAATGAGATAACATTGTAATTTTCAAAATAATCGCAATAATAACAGTTATTATGAGGCACTGATGACAATGCCTTAATTAATTTCGTCTATGTTTTGTCACAAATTCTAGATGCTTTCGAAAACTAGAGGCAGTGGGGAGACATGCGTGATGCGCAAAATATGTGCAGCACTAATTATGTAAACTTTTAACATTTTGGCATGTGTCCAAGTATGATTGAAAGCATTCAGAACGTTTATAAGTTTGATAACGAAATATATGTCTGTAGGTTAGACATAAAATGGCACTTAAAGTCGCTGAAATCTGAATGTTAATTTCGCATGATGTACATAAGGGAATAAATTATTTTTCGTAGTGTTTTCGGCACAACACGATTCCTTAAAATGCTCCCTTTAAGCTATTATAGTTTAATGCGCCAACTCCGGTTTCTTTTTTTCTCGAGTTCGTAAATATAATCGTTTGCGATAATAAACTTTTAATGTTAGTACTGTTTATTAAATTTCTATTTTGACCCTAAGCGGTTTGTATTAATTGTTTATGAAACGCTATATTCTCCTTTTTAAAATACCAAATAAGAATTTTGCCACTTGTCAAAAAAGAAAAAAATAATAATAGATAAATAAAATGAAACTTCTGCATAATTACACAAGGTTATTGGTGCTGATAACAACATATCAATTAAGGCTTTGTTTCAATTCAAAATCAAAGTAAGTGACAATTGATATCCGAACATCGTCCATGTATACATGGATTTGAACTTTTATCACCGTGTTCATAATTTGTGAACTGTACAATGACTTAAAGGGCCATGGTTCGGGATGCTTTTATTCCTTGGTTTAAATATTTTTATATGTTCATATTGTATATACCATCAACAATTTTCTTCTTTAGTTACATTACAAATAAAACGGATTTTAATTAGAAAAATATAGATCTACTAAAAAGATACATAAATGTGCAGTTTTTGGTGTTGGTATTTAATGTTTGGTGATTATCAAATTCTGAAATATCTGACTTATTTTTAACCTATGTTCATACTTTGAGAATTTCTCCTTGATTATTAGTAAACAATATTTAAACTGATTTATAAATAACTGGCTTCACTATAGTATACAGTGATTCAAAAAAGTAAGAAAATGATATGAGTCATGTCATGACAAAACCAACATAATGGGTTTGCGACCAGCATGGATCCAGACCAGCCTGCCCATCCGCGCAGTCTGATCAGGATCCATGCTGTTCGCTTACCAACTCTACTTGTCTAGATCCATGCTGGTCGCAAACGCATTATGTTGGTTTTGTCGTGACGCGGCTCATATGTTATTAAATGTGTAAGATCCAGATAAATAGAAACTTTTACTTTATAAAAGTACTTAAAATATATATTGTAGAATTAAATCTATTGTAATACTTTCTTTGTCAAATATCCATCTACACATAACCCCTGAAACCGTCATAAAATATTAGTTGATTACATGCATCATGTATTTCAGGTGGATGGAGGCGCAACCACAAATCTTGCTTACATGCCCGATAAGACTGACAATGACGATATAGTAAGTGTTGTTTAATTTACATTAATGCTATCTATATACATTTGTATCTATCTTGTCATCTATGTTCCTAAAATATACATGGAGGTCTTTTCCAAATATATCGTAGCAACAATAATTGTTGTTGTTTTTTGTACAGCATAGAGACAATAATTCTTTATAAGAATGACCATTTACATGTATTTTAAGTTTTATTGAATGTATATTTGTATTATATGTACATGTAATGGATGAGACTTAAATAAACTAATAATGATACAATAATTGTATAATCAACAAGTAAAACTTTTCGTGAATTTGAAAACAAAGGTGTCGAATTATGTAAATTACTTTTCATAGCATGGTTTAATCGCATGCATACTCATTATTTACTGCGATGTCATTGTTTTATATTATGTGAACTAACTTTGAAATTGTTGTAATCTTTTGCTATCTAAATCATAAGCTATTGTAATCTAGTGTAATGCAAAGCTTAAATTACTTAATCAAATTGCAAACACAATAATCATGCACAAAGGTTATATAACTTGAAATGGTTTCCTCTTTTGTGAATTAAAAGCATGTCATTGAAATGAAAGAGAGCAATGGTTGCTTTGCCACTTTTTTCGCCAAAGTTATATTGTAAAATATGTCGTTAACATTTCATTTCATTGGCAAATCGGCAAATAAACATTAACTTTGACCATTAACAGAGTATCATGACAAATATATGGCCAATAGTTTAACATATCGTACAATATATAACAAACAGAATACAAGAATCAAACTAAGAAGCAGTTACTTATTCAAGAGACTTTTGGCTCAGCTTAAATACATAATGAACAAAGTGATAAGCTTTTTATTATGAGTGGACAATATAGTCAACAATGAACATTATGTTCACTAGGTAATAAGTGTGGACGAAAAGACAACTGATGGAATTCCAGGAAAGGAAGAAGCTGAACAGGAGGAAGATCCTTGGAAAATTACCAATTTTTATGTCAAGGTTGTCCCCTGGTCAGGTAAATTTCCATGACTATTATAAACAAATACAACAAGAATATATTTAACAATTTATTCATAGATAGAAGTTGTCTGTGCATACAATACACGCCTTAAAAGCCAAATAAAAGCAGTCATAAGAGTGATAGATACAATGACAATGGCAATAGATTTATATGAATTTGACCAGCGGCCTATACATATAATTGTGTTGAATGTAAAAATTTTATTAAGTCCTGAAAAAATAAACATTCATCTTCAAGACGCCGTCCGTACAAATTGTTTGTATCTTTTTAGACTTAACGACATGCGGTAAAGTGAAACGTGTTCTGTGGGATTACTTTGGAAAGTTTGTGTGCTTACTGGGGTTGCTTTACATGTTCATCTGCTCCCTCGATTTTCTTGGCAACGCCTTCAAACTGATTGGTGGTGAGTTTCTTATTTGAGCCGCATCACGACAAAGCCAACGAATGCGCAGGCTGGTCTGGGTACATGCTGGTCGCAAACCCATTATGTTGGTTTTGTCGTGACGCGGCTTATTTAATTATTTTCATTTCAGTAAACCATATGCATCAAATATTGAAGAATAAGATGTATATTTTGTTACATGAAGTTCGGCTAATTAAGTTCAGTTTAGCGATTTCAAAGCACTTAATTCAGAAATATGGAGTAAATTCGGTTTTCTTCAATGACAAACTAGTGACACATCCATATTTTGCGGTCTTAGTGGCGGGACTTCAATATAAAGATTATTTTAAACTTAAATTTAAAAGTAATTGATAAAATAATAAATATTTGTGAAGCTTTACGTTAGAAAGTGTTGATTTTCTTGCATTTATTTACAATCGATAAAAGAAATGACGAAAATACAATCAATAAATACAGAAATAATTAAGAACATAAAACATGAAGCACCAATGTTATGTTGAACTGACATACTTTGTTGTTGTTTGTAGGCAGAGCTGCAAGCTCAGTATTTTCTGAGAGCGAGGTTCTTTCTAACCCCGTGGCTGGTCTTATGATAGGTATCCTAGCAACAGTTTTGTTTCAATCTTCATCAACAACGACTTCCATCATTGTCAGTATGGTGGCTGCTAAACGTGAGTAAATGATAGCATACTTTGTGTTGATTTAACAGGAATACAAATTGTATATAACAAATCATTATTTGTTGTTTTCGTGTTATTGTGAAAAAATACTAACATAGACACCAGCTCAAAGTGCAAAATTAGTGAGAATGTGTTTTTGAATTCAGTATTAAGTGGGGTCCGTGGTCGAGTGGTTAAGGTCGAGTATTATATAACTTGCATTATAAATGAAATTTATCTATTACAGTTGTTCCTATTCGAAATGCTATACCAATGGTCATGGGATCTAACATCGGTACATCTGTGACAAATACTTTAGTATCCATTGGACAAATAGGCAACCAGAATGAATTTCGACGTGCATTTGCTGGGGCGACTGTTCATGACATGTTCAACTGGCTCACAGTTATCATACTGTTACCTCTAGAATCTTTGACGGGTAAATTATTATTTTTAGATAATGAATTAAACGCTAATGCAGAAATAGTACCAGTTTTTTTCTAGAAGTTTTACGCATTGAATAAAATTACTCGTAATTGTCTGACTTATTGGTAGTTTACTTTGCATTTATTTGTTCCAGGGTATCTTTACCACTTATCAGAGATGACCAAAAACAGTATGAATTTAGAAAGTAGCACCGGGGGTGATCAAGAATTCCTGAAAACACTTACAGAACCATTCACAACACTTATTATTCAGGTAAATTATTAATCAAAAAACAATATTTTTAATAATCAAAGTGGTTTACTATTACGCAGGCCATAGCATTTTTAAAAAATTGATAATGGTTGGCAAATAATCAAAATAGCAATTTTTGTAAAGCTTTACCTATAACTTTGCTTTGTCCGGCATTTCACTTTAATTACCATTCACCTTGTATGATTGTATACATGGAAGACAAATACATTTATCGAGTCTAACAAAGTGAAGGTTTTGCAAATACAGCAAAGGATATGCCAAATATGAAAGTGTGTAGAGTTATTTCTGATGAAATAAATATACATACGGTGAAATTATGTTGTTTCTTTAATGTTTTTAAACATAAAATGTATACGTAATTTAATATAGATGAACATTGTACGTTAACAGAACAAACTATTCCAGAAAAAATATTACACTGCTATCAGAGTAGGTTTGCATGCCTCAATCGTTTTCAATAAAATATAATGACATTTTTTTTCTTATTCTGTGGTCATTTTCATCATAATATAAACAATATATATATATATAGTTCATAGACAGCGAATATATAACTATATACATTTTTACATACAACTAATTACTTACGTACAGGTAGACAAGAAGATCATTGAACAAATTGCGCATGGAATTCCAGAAGCCATGAATAAATCCATCATAAAGCATTGTTGTGTGAAAGAAGATGTTGAAGTGACAAAATGGAATACATCGACACATTGGAATTACTCCTATACCGATTCAGAGAGCGTTTGTCTTGAAAAATGTAAGCATTATCTGAATTATAATTATGTGATCTGGGATTGTACTTGTTTTGGTTCTGAAACACAACGTTGAAAGACATATAAGCCGCGTAATGACAAAACCAACATAATGGGTTTGCGAACAGCATGGTCCAGACCAGCCTGCGCATCCGCGAAGTCTGATCAGGATCCATGCTGTTCGCTTAAAAACTCTATAACAAGTAGAGAAACTGATTGCGAGCAGCATGGATCTTGATCAGACTGCGCGGAAGCGCAGGCTGGTCTGGATACTTGCTGGTCGCAAACCCATTACGTTGGTTTTGTCGTGACGCGGCTCATATAATGATACGTATAGAACATTAAAGGTAAATAGATTTACAAGCAAATTTGCGTAGCGGAAGTAGAATGTTGCAAATACGTTATTGGCGTGCTCCTCTAAAAACTGTATGTTTCATTTATTTAAAGCTTCATTTATAGAATCATTGTTTCTTATTCACCTCTCTGAATAAAATGTAATACAATTTTACGGACAAATATATTACCACAATATGAAATATTTTTAAAATCTTTGTTTGAATGATTCTTCAGATATCAAAAGTACTTAAAATTCTTGAATTTAAATGTGGTACTCTAACACAGCAGTCCAAACTATTTGTCGCGCATTTAAAAATCTGAAAAACAATCTAGTTTAAGTTGACGCGATAATGATCTAAGTCGTACTGTTAGACTTGCCTTAAGGTAACCTTGGAAATGTAACAACTTAGTATTTAATACAGAATAAATGGTATCTGTTTACAGGTAAATACTTGTTTGAAGGCGTTGCGGACAGTTGGGGTGATACAACCGTTGGCATCGTGTTGTTAGTCGTCGCCTTGGTAATACTGTGTGCCTGCCTCATTCTGATTGTAAAAACACTTAATTCTATGCTGAAGGGAAAAATAAGTTATATCCTAAAGAAGTTCGTCAATGGAGACTTTCCTGGCAAACTGGCTTATTTCACTGGATACTTGGCTATATTGATAGGGACAGGTTTAACTATCCTTGTACAGTCAAGTTCTATATTTACCTCTGCGTTAACACCATTGGTTGGAATTGGCGTGATATCTGTAGAACGAATGTACCCATTGACACTCGGAGCCAATATCGGCACAACAACAACATCTGTCTTGGCAGCCCTTGCACAGAGCGCAGAGGATATTCCACTAGCCTTACAAATATCGCTGGTACATCTTTACTTCAACATTTCAGGCATATTGCTTTATTTTCCAATACCATACCTTCGATTTCCTATTGGAATGGCCAAGGCACTTGGAAATGTTACCGCACACTATCGTTGGTTTCCGATCCTTTATCTTATTTTCGGTTTTTTCTTACTTCCGGGCGCTATTTTTGGACTTTCATTGATTGGTTGGCAAGTCATGACAGGAATATGTGGACCAATCGTTTTTGTTCTGGCTATCGTAGTCGTGATAAATATTCTACAAAGAAAGGCGCCAAAATGTCTTCCTAAAATCTTACGTAACTGGATGTTCCTACCAGAACCATTGCGATCACTTGATCCGTTAGATCGTAACATTAAAAAACTGACAGTGTTTTGCAGGTGCTGTTGTAAAAATAAAAACAAACCGGAGAATGAAACGAAAGAAGTGAAAGAAGCTGAATTTCAAAAGACTGAATTCACTAAGTTGTAATTGAAAATCTCTCATTGCAATATAAATACAAATGTATATTTATAAAGATCTGATTAAGTTTTGTTACTGTGTAAAATTTCTGGTATGGGTGTTGTATCAATTATTTGATAAAAAATGTCAGAAAACATTTACAAAACACTTTTAATGAATTTTAGTTACCGAATTTTTATTTTTTTAATATTGCGTTAAGGGTTACACGCGGGACTCTCGCTGTCAAGAATTCCGAATGGGATGTCATAATTTTAAGAAACTTAATGCTTGCTGCAATACTTTAGAACTGTAAATTGATTTATTTATACTCAGAATAAATGGAATTTCATTGAACTAAAGACTTAAATGTCTATGCTTGCGAAATTTTCTTTTACTGTTACATATACCTTTAGCGATCATAAGTTGTATCATAGTTTGGAGACCTTTCTGTTGAAAATGTGTCAGGGTTAAATCGTATACATATACATGCACAGTGCGTTAACTGGAGTGCGGGTATTAGTTACCCGCACTCCAGAGCATGCCCATTGATTGGCTCATTTTTGCTGGGGTTTACATACTGTGACGGCAGTGAAAGTGAAATCGACAGAAATGTGATATTTAGATGCTCGTTCATTGGTTCATTTTTGCCGGGGTTTCATATTGTAACAACAGGGAACGTGTTTTTATGTTTGACTATGATACAAAAGAGAAAGAACACCAAAACACTCGGTAATCTGATTAATACTCGGGGGGCTACGCCCCCTCGTACAAATCAGATAACCTCGTGTTTCGGTGCTCTTTCTATTACAAAGAAAACATTTGACGGTCCTTTGCTCAATTTTTTACTATATCAGAAGTTCCGATATTTTGTGATATCAATACACACGCTGTTGAAATGTCATCAGTTAAACACTCAATTGATTTATTTATTTAATCAAAACGTTAATCATATTGCAAGCTAGTTAGTTTTCGAGCTAATAAGATAAATTTCCAGTTAATAAGATAAATTCTTTATCCTTTTTTGTATTTTTGAAAAAGACATTTTGTGATACACTGACAAGCCGTCATAAACATATAAATAAGTAAAAAAGATCTTTTATAAACTTTTGATGATTTTATTTGTACATATTTTTGTTGATATTTTTAAATGTTTTATAGTGTACCATTCAGAGTAATATAATTTGTTATTGCTTATGTATATACATGTAAAATATAAATATATGTTCGATGATATATTTATAGTGCACATGACAAAGGATGCGGTTACGTTGTTAGATCTTGTTCTCCAATCCACTTTTTCATATACATTCTAATGTTCAGCGTTTTGCAAAGATTACCAAAACTTAAAATCACAATAAAATCTTACTACTCTAAACTCTGCTTACAGCAAACTCACCGGGATATTCAAACTGTGTTCCTTATATCAGGAGTTCGTTATAAGCATATAGCATTTTTTCATTATATTAGGAGCGTTTATAAAAAACCAGATTATGTATAATGAACTATATTGTATTTTAGTTAAAACAATATTATTATTACTTATAAATTCCATTAGGATGAAAATGGTATAATAATAATGACATTAATTTTTTTTGTGAAGTTTAGCAAGTCAGTTTTATTTAAGTTAAGATTTTTATCTGTTAATTACTGTTCTATTGAAGAAAAAACATCCTTTTTTCCATGGTTTGCATGTAAATGTTTGGACTTTTGACACCATTGGAATTGGCTTCAACTTGAAAGGTGTTCAATACTAAGCTATATTTATACAATGTAATACTAATTTTCTCCTTTTGAGATTGTAGAATTAGTTAAGCTTTTTGTTGTTGTTGTTGTTGTTTTCTGTGATTTTGACGGATATTTTTTGTCATATTGTTAATTGTAAAATGGCTTTTGATATATTAAAAGCAATTTATATGATATTTGTTCCTGTGTTATTCATTAATGGGTTTGAACACGTACAAAAATAAATTCAAATATGACCGATGAAACAACCCAGGACAGGCACTGATATAGTGTCCAATATCTAAATTGTTGTGTTATAAATTTTGAACATTTTAATGATGTTTTATATACAGATTTTATTTTAGTTTAATGAAGTACAGGAAGTTGTTAAAAACACATTCTTGCCACTAGAGTCAATTAAATTTTCAGTATCTGTTCTTTAATTTTTTAAAAAATTTTAATTTTAATATGTGAATGCGTTTTCTAAAATATCAAACCGATCAGACTGTTAACAAAAGAAAATATGAGCCGCGTCACGACAAAACCAACATAGTGCGTTTGCGACCAGCATGGATCCAGACCAGCCTGCACATCCGCGCAGTCTGATCAGGACCCATGCTGTTCGCTTACAAACCCTATAACAAGTAGAGAAACTGATAGCGAACAGCATGGATCCTGATCAGACTGCGCGGATGCGCAGGCTGGTCTGGATCCATGCTGGTCGCAAACCCATTATGTTGGTTTTGTCGTGACACGGCTCATATAATATTGATACGTTCCATTGAAACCGCGGCAAATCCATTCCTCCATTTCAATCAGTACAGCGTTAATCCGGCCGCTAATAGGTTTTTATGTGGTAGCGAAACATTATCGGTGCTGGACACTGGAAGTATTACTCATGAACGTATATTATTTATTAACGACTATATTTTATTGAATATGAGATAATATATTTGAAAGTTGAAATGAACAGTAATTTAAAAAGGCACATATTTGACCGGAATATCTAAACTAATGGGTAAACAAAAGTCTTTTAAAAAAAATCTTTTAAATCTTTAAAAGCACACATATATCATACATATACAAACATATCAGTTACATAAAGTTAACTGCTTAAAGCAGGTTTTTGCATGTCAAAAAAACCCATATCCTATGGACTTGTGTTTACAAGTACATTGCTACAGCTCATCACATGCTGACATTTTTCAACATTTTGTCTTATTGTTATTCCTTTCCATTCCATTATACACAACATATATATTTGTTCTAATAAAATTTGTTTCCTGCTAGAGCAACGAACCACTTTGGTATACGAATGAAACTTGGAAAGCACCAGGCTAGCCATGGATGTCCATATTGTCTCAAAAGAAAATTGACTTGTCTGTAATCCGACGGCCCATGTCCCTCCACGTCTGCGAGACTGTATGTTCGTGCTAACTCAACCGTTGTTAATATCTTCCCGCTCATTTTCATCAAATCAGGATCAGTTGCAATTGCAGCAATGCATTGTCCAGCAAATTCAGTTGTCTCACCTTGTTCGAAAATGCTTAACATTTTTTCTGAGTCTCTCATTGGCTTTGGAATATTAGCATCTTTCATTGTCTCCTGAACATTACCTTTTAATTTTGCCAGGACTGTCTCTGTACCAACCGCACCAGGCCATAAACTTACGAAAGCAACATTATGTTTCTTAAGTTCAAATCCACAATCGGCGGCCATTCGGTCACAAGCTTCTTTGCCGACACCATAAGCGACATTAAACAGATATCGAAGTCCACCAGATGACGATACATTTACTATAAGTCCTTGTTTCCGGGGAACCATCATTCTTGCAGCATAAACAGAACAAATGTAATGATTCCTTAATCCAACATTATTTACGTCATCCCACATGGATGGCGACTGTTCCCAAAATTTCACATTCAAGGAGCTGAAAATTGCATTTACAGCCGAATACGCGTTATTTACTAATATATCCAACTGTCCCTCATTTTCGCGTTTAACTTGCTCAAACAGTCTTTCGATATCCTGGTCTTTCGAATGGTCGCACTGCACTGGAACACAAATTCCACCGCGGGCTTCGACTTCTTGTGCTGTATCACGCAATGAACCTCCAACTTTTGAACCTTTTGGTGGATCTAAAGTACGTCCAGTTATATACACTTTTGCCCCTTTCTCTGCAAGTTGAAGTGCTATTCCTTTACCAATACCGCGCGTTGCCCCGGTAACAATACATACTTTCCCTGCAAGCGGCTTTGAAGACATCTCTATAGAAATTCTCTACAAATTAGCAATTTGGTGTCGTACTAGAAAATAAACTTTTTAAAGTTCACTTTATCAATCGTTATCATTATCGGACATACAAGTACATATACCATCTAATATTGTGAGAGATTTGAACCGTCTTCTATTATGCAATGTATTCGTATAAATTTAAACTGATAACATAATTCAAGTGTTAACTGCTATCAAAAACACGTATCGTTAGAACAAACATTACATAAGAATACATGAATAATTTAAGTATTGCCCATGGCCTTTGATCCTCTAGACCTGATTGAAGCGCGTGGTGAGGATACAACAGACGACATAATGCCTGTTGATTTTTTGTTATAAAATTTGTTCTGCTTTGACCTTTGAAAAGTTCATTAAAACTTTTTTTCAATGTTTAAGTAAAGAGATAGAGCTACTATGGATCAGTATAGAGCAAGTTCAGATTGCACTGGTGGCACAGGCTCATCATTTGTTACAAGGGAGTTTACTGTGCATTATCACTTTATATACATGAAATAATGCGGTTATTCGTGCAACTGTTAAAATGTTTTCTGTACAGCACATTTATGAAATAATTACACGCAATACAAAAAGGATCAGACTGAAAGCAATCTAATATTTATTATCAAAGTTCTCTTTCAACAGTGTGTTTCATAAATTGATAGTGATATGATTCAAGACCATTTTTAACTAAATTCAGTGTATTTTGAAAGATGGTTCGTGTGTCGCATGTCTGCTATTTATAACTGTAAAAGGGATTTAAATAACCGTTATATTAACATGTGTAAAGCCTGCGTCACATAACACTCCGATTAGGTTTACGATGGGGTACCGATGTCTGAACGGGCTGAAATTGCCAATTTTTTTAAAGGTCTCCGGCCGGTGACCCTCCGGTGTCAAGTGACCGGTGGGGCGCCGTACGGGTAATCGGAGAATTTTTCTGCAGAGTTATTTCCTTCCGGCATCAGGTGCCGTAGCAGACACGGTTTAATACCCTCCAATACCCGGCCGGGCACCTTTTGTTATCGGTTACATACCGGTTAAATTTTTTCTCTCCTGGGCGCCAAATATTCCTCCAGATTCCAAGCGGTATCTGAGCGGTCACCGAGGGTGTCTCGGCAGGTTACTGACCGGGACCCGGATGGACGCAGTACGTTGCATGTATGGTCCTAATGTGTACGCATGGATAGCGTTGGGGTTATTAAACAGACCTTACGGCCAGTAAAGCCTTGAACTGTGAATTAGGCGACCCGTGTTCAATTCTTGGACGACGGTGAGGGTCACTTTCGTTGTACAGAAGTTTTCATTACCTTGCGAAAGTGAAAGAGATTATTACTATTTAACTGCTTGACAGACTGTCCAGGAACGATGCGGTGGCTGAACTTTGCTCTGAAATGTATATTCAAGTTGGCTTACTGTCAAAGTCCTCAATACCACCATCATTCTCTTATTAGCCAGCGTGCAGTGCTGAATCGGTTAAATTACTAGATTTGTAATCTGGACATTGTGGGTTCGATTCCCGGGATGACCAACTGAAATAGACTGACGAGACTTTAAAGCGAGGTCCTGTGTATGAGTGCTTAAACACTTGGATAGGTAAAGAAGGAGAAGATTGTTTAGAGTCCTGATCTATTGATCTTGTTTTTCTTATTTTTTTCTGAAATTGGGGCATCTTGCTATCTGTATCTTGCGCTGTCCTCCAAAATCTGAAACGACTAAAACTCCTCTGGAGGACTCGCCTATACGGGCAACCGATGGCGAGTATTTACAAACTCAATTACACACACATATTCTATCAGTTTTCACACACGTCAGAGGTTTCTTAAAGTTTTCAAGTTTCATTTACAATCTTTTATGGAAAACTTTATTTCAGAGTGCAATATACCTTCCAAAACAGAAAGCAAAGAAGGAGAGGGGAAGAAATCAGAGGACAGGAAGGCAAAGAAATATGCCAAAAAAGAGGGGGTGTGAATAACGGCCGGAAAATGGGATAGCATGCCATACGAATACCGTCCGACAGCCGATCGGATATCGAACGTATACTTTTCCGTCACCGTACGATTGTTGCTAGCCTGGGATTCAGGCGTTGATAGTTTTTGCATAATTATAACATTTTTTTTTTTCATAACATATGCGCTAAAATATTCCGTATTCGTTCGTCGTTATGATAGTATCAATGTCGATTTGCCAAACAGAAACATAACATAAAATCGACAGACTGGAACCCAGGCTAGATTGTTGCTAATAGGCCAAATAACGGAAGGCAACTGGACATTTATCGTACGGTAGTCTGTCGATTACCTTTAGAATATCGATCGGTGTCAGGAAAGAAGATTCCAAGAGTTTTCACCGGGTGACCGGGCGAGTACCCTTCGGAAACCGTCCGAATACCTAATGGACCACAGAGTGAGAATGACCGCCCACTTCTTCCCGGGCATGATTGAAATGTTTCTCTCCGATCTCAAATTATCAACGGTGTCCCATCTATCCCTCTATACCGACCGGTCCCCTCTTGTAATGTGACGTAGGCATAACACTGAATTATATTTCGTTTGTTTGTTTAATTGGGTTTTACGTCACACCGACACAGTATAGATCATATGGCGACGTTCCAGCTTTACTGGTGGAGAAAGACCTCAAGTGCCCTTCCTTGAATTATTTCAGGCACGAACGGGCACACGAGTAGAAGTAAGCTACATGTAGCTGGATAGCTTCCTGACATGAAAGAATCCAAAGTCCCTGTCGGGATTCGAACCCACAGCGGTGAGGGGCAAGTGGTTTAAACGACCTTAAACACTCGGCCGAGGACGCCCCCGAATTATAATTCGTCATAATGACAAACGGTCATCTTTTTTTATTATTTCGCTTTTTTAGGATTTTTTCTCGTTCTAATATCGTTACTCAGCCTGTATTTCTTTAATACATGTCGAACAGAATTATCCAAACAATGTCATTTTTAGTACCTGGAAGATCAGTAATAGTTATCGTACGAGGTAAAGCAAGCATAGTATTTATAGACCCGGTGGCGATATTGTGGGTCAGACCCTGCGCTCAAGGTGATAGCACCTATAAACACTATCAAAAATATTTTAATATTTAAACACTACGAATGGGACATCTGTTACAACCATAAATCTGGTTTTCAAACAATTTTGACATGTATATAAAAAAATACTTGAATCATCAAGTCTCAATATACTTATATATCTATGATTGGCATAATTATACTTTATAAGTAATATTCTCTTCTTCATGTAATCATACTAGTATTAAAATTAATCAAATATGGAAGGGTGATGTATGGATGACAAAACACATGTTTTTGATCATTTTTTTCAATACGCTTTCTCAATTTTCTTCATTTTTATTGTCCCCACAATTTTTGGGAATAGAACTGCCACTTTTCATAGCTTTGGAAATCCCCCCGCATCCATTTGTCAGAACATTTGATCTAGGAAAACCCTCCCTCCAAATCTGAGGTTATTTAAACCAGTGCATTGCTAAGTTTTTAAATCTAATGTTAAATTTGGGAAAATGTAAAATAAATTAATTGGGGACAGGAAATTTCCTTTAAAAATTAAAAAATGTTTTTTTTATCAAGGCCCCTGTGCCCTTGCCCTTTAAACCAAGGGCCTAAAACAAAGGGGTAACTTTATAAATGTTTTCAACACCCGGCCAATATGAAGATTTGGGGAAAAAAAGGGAATTTTAAGTTAATGGGGTGGAACCAAATTTTTTGAAGTAAAAAGCCCCTTAGGCCTTGATCTTTGGGCCCCAAGTGACCTCAAAATAAAAAGGGGTTTTCCACAAAATCATCCCCTTAAATCCCTTTCCCAAAATATAAATACTGGGTAAAAGGGAAAAATCTAAAGTTTTTGGGCAGAAAAAATTTTTTAAAAGTCAAAGCCCCTGTAAACCTTTGACCGGTGCCCAAAAAATTTAAATAGGGTATTACAAGAATGACAACCCTCTTTCCCAAAAATTAGGGAAGCCCGTGGGTCAAAAAAAATCTTAATTTATTTTGGGGACAATTTTTTGAAGTAAAGGCCCCTTGCCCTTGACCTTTGCCCTTTTTGCCCAAAAACAAAAAGGGGCCAATCTACTAATCAGGGACTCCCCTCCTTTCCAAAAAAAACCCTGTGGGTAAAGGAATTTTAAGTTTTTGGGGCGGACAAGTTTTTTGGGAGTAAAACCCCTTTGCCTTGCCTTTGACCTGGTACCTCAAAAATTTTAGGGGTCATCTAAAAAATCAGGGACTAACCCCCCTTTCCCCAAATATGAAGAGTGGGAAAAGGGAAATCTTGTTATTGGGCAGAAAATTTTTTTAAAGTCAAGGCCTTGGATTTTCCCTTTTGACCTGGTGACCTCAAAAATAAGGGTATCTACAAATATGACTAACCCCCTTTCAAAATAAAAGGGATGTCCCAAAGAATTTTAAAGTTTTTGGGCGGACAATTTTGGGATAAAAACCCCCTGTGACCCCCTTTACCTGGTCCCTAAAAATCAATGGGGGTCTTTTACAAAAAGACAACCCTCCCACCAAAAAAATAGGGTCAAAGAATTTTAATTTATAGGCGGACAAGCCTTTTTTGAAGTCAAGCCCCTGTTTCTTTTGAGCCTTTGACCTGGTGACCTCAAATCAATAGGTGTCATCTACTGATATGACTACTCCATCCCCAAATTTATGAAGACTGTGGGTCAAAAGAGGAATCTTAAGTTATTGGGCGGACAAGCGTTTTTGAAGTCAAGGCCCGCCTGTGCCCCCTTGGGACCCCTTTGAACCTGGTGACCTCAAAAATCAATAGGGGTCATCTACTAAATCATGACTAACTCCATTCCAAATTGACGACTGTAGGTCAAAAGGCAATCTTAAGTTATAGGGCGGCAAGCTTTTTTGAAAGTCAAGCCCCTGTTGGACCTTGACCTCTTTGACCTAAAATCAATAAGGGGTCATCTACTAATCATGACTAAACCTCCTGCCCAATGGACGACTGTAGAGTCAAAGGAATCTTAAGTTATTGCGCGGACAGCTTTTTGAAGTCAAGGCCCCTGTGACCTGGGACCTTTGACCTAGTGAACTCAAAACTCAATAGGGGTCATCTTACTAATCATGACTAAAACTCCATGCCAAAATATGAAGACTAAGGGTCAAAGGAATCTTTAAGGTTAAATTGGGCGAACAAGAAAAAACCGACGGACAGCCAGACGGACGGCCGGACCAGACCGGACGGACAAGCTGAATTCCCTATAACCCCCTTACAAACTTTTTGTGCGGGGGAGGGTATAACTAGTACTTATAATATCCATGTATTTTAAAATAATCTTGCGAATTTACAAAACCAGAATTTACACATAAATTTGTTGGCATTGAAGCTGAATTCACAGTTTAGGACTGTTAATCCCGGCCGTTAATCTCAAACAGTACGTTCTCATACCACATTAAAAAGATATCTATACTTTATCATTACGCCTTAAAAACTGCAGTAATAACAAGTGTGCTTCAAAATAACCCACATATACTACACCTGCCAGAAATATATCACAATTTTAACAAATTCCCCAACTCACATTTTACTAAATTTTTCAAATCAATTTACCTAAAAATACAAGTTCTGAAAACAAATTAATAACTAAAATGTAAATTATCTAATTATAAACTAGAACTTGCCACTATTACATGGCGTGAATACCCCCACATCCACTTTGGTCAGAAATCAACAGTGCCCATTTAGGAGCTCAAGGACAACTCCCCTACCAATCTGAGAGTTACTAAACCATGCATTGCTAAGTTATGTATTATACATGCTTCAAATGTGAAAATGTCTAAATAATTACATTGCTGGACAGCCACATTCTTTAAGCCAATTGAGAAAGAAAAGCTTTTTTTTGTCAAGGTCCCTGTGACCTTGACCTTTGAAACCCAGGTGACCTCAAAATTTCAATAGGGGTCACTCCTACTAATCATGACTAACCTTCATGCTAAATATGACGACTGTAGGTCAAAGGAATCTTAGGTTATTGGGCGGACTAGCTTTTTGAAGTCAAGGCCCCTGTGACCTTGACCTTTGACCTAGTGACCTCAAAATCAATAGGGGTCATCTACTAATCATGACTAACCTTCATGCCAAATATGACGACTGTAGGTCAAAGGAATCTTAAGTTATTGGGTGGACAAGCTTTTTGAAGTCAAGGCCCCTGTGACCTTGACCTTTGACCTAGTGACCTCAAAATCAATAGGGGTCATCTTCTAAGCATGACTAACCTCCATGCCAAATATGACGACTGTAGGTCAAAGGAATCTTAAGTTTTTTGGGCGGACAAGCTTTTTGAAGTCAAGGCCCCTGTGACCTTGACCTTTGACCTAGTGACCTCAAAATCAATAGGGGTCATCTACTAATCATGACTAACCTCCATGCCAAATATGACGTCTGTAGGTCAAAGGAATCTTAAGTTATTGGGCGGACAAGCTTTTTGAAGTCAAGGCCCCTGTGACCTTGACCTTTGACCTAGTGACCTCAAAATCAATAGGAGTCATTTACTAATCATGACTAACCTCCATGCCAAAAATTAAGACTGTAGGTCAAAGGAATCTTAAGTTATTGGGCAGACAAGCTTTTTGAAGTCAAGGCCCCTGTGACCTTGACCTATGACCTAGTGACCTCAAAATCAATAGGGGTCATCTACTAATCATTGCTAACCTCCATGCCAAATATGAAGACTAAGGGTCAAAGGAATCTCAAGTTATTGGGCGGACAAGAAAAAACCGACGGACGGACAGCAGGACGGACGGACGAGCTGATTCCAGTATACCCCCCTTACAACTTTGTTGTGCGGGGGTATAACTAATAGGGATAAAAATATACAGACCCACAACCAAAATCTCTAAATAGAAAATACATGCACATAATAAATAAATGTTCAAATGTCAGTGATTTTTTTCTACAAATAAAGGTTAGCTTTTAAAGCCACATATACATCGTATTTGCATCTATCTTTTTTACAGCATGTATGGAATATAATACGGAATATAAACAGGGGCAACCCAATTAGATTGAACAATATGCATTCTATTCTTAACAGAAATTGATGATCCAATCATCTAAGGTATAAAGCCCCTAAATCAAATATCCATCCTTAAAATGCTGGATCAGTATTTTACGACATTTGAATCAGGACTCTTCATCAAATTTTTTTAAAAGCATAATACTCTGCAAGAAGTAAGTTGCCAGTCCTCTAAGAATATTTAAACATTGTTTGAATAATAAAATAAATAATATCATGATGTATGAAAGTAAGGAATATGGACAATCAAATGACCTTTTATTGCTTACTTTTGAAAACAATGACCATTAGGGTTTCAAATTTTTTTAAATACACAATGTAATCATTATAGCTTTTTTGCAGAAACAATGTTTGCTTAATAATAAATAGTTTCTACAGTTTTTCTAATCTTAAAAAACTATTCATGTATATTTCCTCCCCATATATACAGATTTTCTAACTTTCCAACTTTATTAGTTGAGGAAGACCATAAGCTAGCCCGATAGCTCTCTCACAAGAGGAATCCAAGAAACTGGCTCGGCTCGAACCTACAGCAGTGAAAGGCAAGTGGTTTGAGGTAACTACATCTGCCGTTATTTGTTTCCATAGTAATATAAGTACAACACAAGTTCACTTGATTTTCCACTCTGACAATGCATATTTGAGATTCATTTCCTTCTGATTATAAAACTACAAAAATATAGTTCCACTTAGTCATTTTATCTTAAATGTGTAAATCATTATAATTTTATCAGTTTTTAGTTTAAACCATTATAATTTGCCAGTTATATGTTTTAAACTATTATAATTTTACCAGCTTGTCATCAAATGTGTTCTCTGTATAGCTTAACTCACTGTTCCTTTCACCTAACCAAAGGCAGGAAAGGAAATTATATACCTTAATTCTTAAGGAAAACAATATTCATACATATAATTTAGCAGAAAACTTCAAACATAAACTTAAATCTTGGCTAAACTTTCAATTTTATCTGTTTACATTACACCCACCAACAAAGCATATCATTTTTAATTCCTAGGTTAATGGAAAATTTGTTCCATTTTCTATTTTCACTGTAAAACATGTTATATTCTTAATAATAAATCCTGAAGTAAAACATTTTATATTCTTAATCATAAAATCTTAAAATCCTGAAAGTAAGTGTTATTTCTGCATTAATTTTCAATAATTTCACTGAAAATCAATACAATTTACACTCATGATTGTCAAAATATTTTGAAAAAATATAACACATATAAAATGATACCAAATATGAGCAACAAGATCTATTTTGTGGCTGATGTGTAAGTTACAAAACATAATTAAAGTCATATGGCAATTTTCCAGCTGTTCTACAGGAAGTAGAGGGCAGGTGCCCCTCCATACATTGACCGATTTGCTAGATAAACAAAATAGTTTATTCAAAACTTTTAGTTTTGGTCAGAATATCGCTTTAATATAAATCAAGATTTTGCTCGTAAAAAAATAAACACATTATCTTATTTTGGAGTACAGTTATTCCTGGTTGCCTTGCAAACTGGTATATGTTACTTCCTCTACCACTGTAAAATGGCCATATGAAATTAACTGACAAATACATGAAATAAACAATATATAACTATGTAATAGTGAGAACCTCCATCTCTTTTATCAAATAAATATATGAGCCGCTTCACGACAAAATCAACATAGTGCGTTTGCGACCAGCATGGATCCAGACCAGCCTGCGCTTCCGCGCAGTCTGATCAGGATCCATGCTGTTCGCTATCAGTTTCTCTACTTGTAAAAGGGTTGGTAAGCGAACAGCATGGATCCTGATCAGACTGCGCGGATGCGCAGGCTGGTCTGGATCCATGCTGGTCGCAAACCCATTATGTTGGTTTTGTCGTGACACGGCTCATATTTGCGTCCAAAGTGGTTACAACATCTCATGACATTTTGTGTCCCTAATGTGATAAAATAAAATTCATATATAAAACAACTATATACCAATTCAAACAAAAATATTGAAAATGGTAGATACAAAATGTATATGAAAATACCAGGAAAGGTAACATCAAAATGTTTATAGAATATTTCCATCATTCCTTCTCAAAGAGTCTATAAAAAGCATGAATAAAATTTATCAAAGTATAGTAAATCATGCAAAAATTTGTTTTTCTCAAAATAACATACCTAAATGTAGTCGATATATTCATTGCATAACAAAAAAGAAATATTTAAACACTGGTTATTAATTAGTTTAAGAATATGAAAAAAATTCAACAACTTGTCTAAAGTATTTTGGCAATGGTAGTGTGGTATTAAATATCTACAGTGATGCCACTTTCTTACACAGACTGTTTCATTATTTGTTGTTTTTAAAAATAATTTCACATGTTTGTCAGAAAGTTTAATTCTTCTTGTGTCCCAACAAGAAACTAAATATAAACATTAAGTAGAGTTAAATGTTCTACTTAATGTTAACAATATTTAGGAAGGCACTGTACACTGCCTAAGATATTTTTCTTGTATTTCAGTAAAAGAAGAGAGCACCCCTGTGGTACAAATGCTGTATATAAAGGGCAAGAACTTAAAAATTGAATACAGGTGTACTATGGCTGTTATACACTTCATTTCACAATAAATTAAATAACTTTGTGACTGTAAATGTTCGCAATAACTATCCATGTGAAAAAAAGGGAAACAACTGTAGAAATACTAATTACTTATTTATGTCTTTTGTTCTACAGATGTACATGTACCTTGTCCTACTTAGCAAATATGCTAAGGATGAGTGCAGTATCTTTGAAAGTTTTTAAATTTTTTTATCAAGGAACCACAAAACAGTTAAAAAGGGTCATTACAGTCAGCATAAATCCCCGTATCTTATAATTATGCCTCGTCATGATAAGCAAGCATTCTATGTCTTATGAGAGTTTTAGAGTTAGTCTACTTAATACACAATTTCACAAATTTTCCAAGTTAAAAAAGGAACATAACACCAATATATTACTCTTTGTCTTACAAATTGACATTGCCATGATAAGCAAGCATGCAAAGTTTCATGTTGACACCTTTAAAAAGTGCTCTATTAATGGGCTACATGTACCTTACAGTTTTTGCATTACAACAACAACCAACCCAGCAATTATAATACCTTCACTTTTTCTTAGAAACAGACAAGCTAATAATGGCAAAAAAAAAATTCAACATAAGACAGATACTATTAATAGATTGCCTGCAACCTATTTAACACAGAATATTTTGATCAGAACTTATTTACATGAATATAATTATGTGTATTATACATAATAGTTCATAAATATTTAGAATATCCTCTTATTTTTACACTATTCAGAGTCCAAATATCCAAACATAGAAGTTTTTTTTATATTTCCCATGTGTCCAGCCATTTAAGTCCATGCATGTCACTGTCTGGATGGTTGGCATGTGGACCACTCATTCCGTAAGACAGTGGATGAAACACATAGAAACTGAAAAGACAAAAAATACATAATTTATTTATATATACTACTGTGTGATATGCATTTGAGTCATGTAACATGCCATTATTCTATATTATATTATTATAACAGTGTAAAAAAATTGGTGTTATAAATTTTCAACAAAGCCGTCATACTTTAATAAATGCCATACCACAGATTCAAAATGGTCAAATCTGTTTCATGTCATTCACACTCTGTTTACATTATATGGAAGCTTTTTATTTTACAGATGGAGGAAGAAGACCTTTGATGTCTGTCTGTGCAATATTTCAGGCACAGACAGACATCAAAGTACAACCATGATCTTCTGTAAGCTTGCTCAATGGCATCCGTGCAGTCTGATCAGGATCCATGCTGTTTGCTATCGCTTTCTCTACTTGTAATAGAGTTGGTAAGCGAACAGCATGGATCCTGATCAGACTGCGCGGATGTGCAGGCTGGTCCGGATCTATGCTGGTCGCAAACGCACTATGTTGGTTTTGTCGTGACGTGGCTCATATATTTATACCTGTATAAAGAATTCTATAATAAGCTGTAAACATACCTGTATGCAGTGACAGAGAGGATTAAACCTAGACATGTATGGAATACCAACATAGATAATGATCTAGGTAGACTATGACACAGCATTTTGATTATATAATCCAAAATGATACCTGGAACATAAACAGAAATATTAAATTAATGCAATATTTTCTATACATGTACTGTATTATTCTAGGACTCAGTAGTTTATAGTTAACAAACAAACAACAACAAACTGTTTATATTCTATTTATGTAACGAGGCACGTCATCAGACATTTCATCAATAAAAACATATTAAGTATTTTCAGTTGGTTTGTGAAAAATGGCGGAATCGGTCATGACAGCGCGATGAATCTTCATCAGACAACCACTAATGAAGATTAAATTGATCTACCTACAGACTACCACTATAGGAGATAAAAGGTGCGACCAGGAGCGATATGCCGTACGCCCAAATAGATCCCTACCCCTATTGCACTATTATTTTGTAATGATAGCCGCCGCCTGGCGATATATATAGTATGCTAAGAAGGTACACCGCCGTACCCAATATAACCAGCAAAACATGGTACTCCGCCGTACCTAATATAACCAGCAGCCAAGGTACTCCGCTGTACCTAATATAACCAGTGGCCAAGGTACTCCGCCGTACCCAATATAACCAGCAAGCAAGGTACTCCGCCGTACCTAATATAACCAGCAAGCAAGGTACTCCGCAGTACCTGATATAACCACCAGTGCAACATAGTTATACAGTGCTTAACATAAGATAGGCCTAACAAAATTAGAGCTCATCAAAGAACGCCTAGTCATAGCTATCTGGCCAGTTCTTGAAGGCCCATTTAAACCAAATAAGTAATTTTGAATCCTACAGATCGCAGTCTACCCACAGACAACCACTATGGAATATTCCACGACCATAGGTATGCAATGTGAATTTTTTATCTCCCTGTATGAAAGACACTAGCAAATTGTAGCAAGTGACTCCTGGTCGCACCTAAGAAAAGAATTTTCCGCTGTCATAACAATAAATAAAGTATGAAAACTATTGTTTTGTAAACGCTGTTAATATATATGCCTGTCTCCCAGCTTAAGTTTGTAATTAAACACATATGTATTGAAATAAACTGTTTATCCTTGTCTAGGATGGTTTAACACGCTCGATTTTACACAATTATAATTAACAAAGTCGTTAGTACTCTCCGACCAAAGGGTGCTGCACTTTGTTCAAATTGTTTGTTCATTCTTGAATCCCGGCGTATATTGTTAATAAACACATATGTACAAATAGTAAACATTGTTGATCCTTGTCTAGGATAGTTTTACACAAGTCGTTAGTACAATCAGTCCGGTGAATGCTGCTATGGAACTCCGGCATGGCTGTTCATTGTGTATATTCGTCCATTTAACGTTTAGCGTGCCTCCCTAAAGTCAGCAGTACGGGCGCAGTTACAGCCAGAAACATACTGAAATATAAAAGCTAAGCAGCACCATTTGGACTTCAACAATTTCATAAAACATCAAATACTAAGATATGAAAACAGATAACATGATACTTCTGGGTGCGGTGGGTGGGTTTTTTGCTTACTGCTTTGTCGAGAAAAAAGAGGGCGAATACCGAAATGATCGCCTTTATATATGACTTGATACGTCATAATGACTTACTTCTCCCGGCGCGAGATTTTGGGCGTGTACTTAAGGCCAGACTAAAATGCTTTATAGGTTATGGACATGTCACTGAGCCATAATAAAGTAGATTAATATTAAGAATTAATCTTGATTATTCTAGGACTCAGTAGTTTATAGTTAACAAACAAACAACAACAAACTGTTTATATTCTATTTATGTAACGAGGCACGTCATCAGACATTTCATCAATAAAAACATATTAAGTATTTTCAGTTGGTTTGTGAAAAATGGCGGAATCGGTCATGACAGCGCGATGAATCTTCATCAGACAACCACTAATGAAGATTAAATTGATCTACCTACAGACTACCACTATAGGAGATAAAAGGTGCGACCAGGAGCGATATGCCGTACGCCCAAATAGATCCCTACCCCTATTGCACTATTATTTTGTAATGATAGCCGCCGCCTGGCGATATATATAGTATGCTAAGAAGGTACACCGCCGTACCCAATATAACCAGCAAACATGGTACTCCGCCGTACCTAATATAACCAGCAGCCAAGGTACTCCGCTGTACCTAATATAACCAGTGGCCAAGGTACTCCGCCGTACCCAATATAACCAGCAAGCAAGGTACTCCGCCGTACCTAATATAACCAGCAAGCAAGGTACTCCGCAGTACCTGATATAACCACCAGTGCAACATAGTTATACAGTGCTTAACATAAGATAGGCCTAACAAAATTAGAGCTCATCAAAGAACGCCTAGTCATAGCTATCTGGCCAGTTCTTGAAGGCCCATTTAAACCAAATAAGTAATTTTGAATCCTACAGATCGCAGTCTACCCACAGACAACCACTATGGAATATTCCACGACCATAGGTATGCAATGTGAATTTTTTATCTCCCTGAATGAAAGACACTAGCAAATTGTAGCAAGTGACTCCTGGTCGCACCTAAGAAAAGAATTTTCCGCCACAGAATAAATTATTATTTATTTCCCCAAAATTCTTATTACAATATTTTCAATAAAGTTTCCCGGATTGTGTCAATGTACATATCAAGGCCGACGTCGGATAGATGAACGCCATCGCTCCTAAAAAATCCCGGTGTACTTTCGTCGATATCGAAACGTATACAATGATGGTTTTTTGTTAGCCTAATTATTTTGCGCCCAAATTGGTTTACGCGTTTTCTTTTCTTTTCTATAAGACGTTTTTCGTCATTTCCAACACCCCAATCAATACGCTGCAAAATATCGACCCAGACGAATTCAGAGTCGGGAAAAGCGGATGTAATATATTGGATGCTTTCCTGCACCATTTTTAAATATGAAGCGTAATGAATGCTTAGTAAGGTCATTGCCGCCTAAATGAAAAAATACAACCTTTGGCGGTGTTCGAAAAACCACAGGTAGTTGGACACAATGAATGAAATCTTCCCATCCCAATCCTCGAATGCCCACCAAGCAATGCTATGTCCGTCGGGAAGACTTAGATTGGGTGTATTTCTAAACTGCGCTCTGACGCCGGCCCAATATGGTAATGAATCCCCAAGAAACCAAATATCTGGAATGAAATGATAAGTGCCCTATAAATAATATTCTAATTTTGTGTGTTTACTCTTATATAAGTTAAATAAGCTGTCGAGTTCCAACGGCCCAACTTCATTATTTCCGTTTCCGGCAGCCCAGACGAAGCTAGTTGAGTAGCCCTACCAATTCTAAAGCTATGGCTTTTATATTTTTCTGACCCAAATTTTGTTCGAGATAAACTCTTTTGAAGCACCGCAGAAAATTGATAGCGAGTTACAGGGGTGCCATTCATATGAATAAAGAATTGTCTGTTTATATCTGGTCTAACAGCTAGATAGGAGCGTAAACTACAGACTGGGCATATAGAAATATCTGCCTCGCACGGTATCTTAAGCGTTACTGGCTTCCCGTACTGATTATTCTTATAAACTGTTAAAGTAATGAAAACAGACTTCTTGTCATTTGCTATTTTGACCTCGGAAAACCCGACTGCTCTATTCGTTGTCCGAGTCGCAACCAATTCGCTTATTCTAAAAAGGCCAAAATATGCTAGCGTAAACATAGTCTTAAAAAGACGGTTTTCAAACTCATTATTTGTAACAGCGTGTAAAACATTACAGATTGCATGCAACATTAAAAGTGTAATTGGAGCCCTCTTGTCAATAGATGGTCTGGCTCTGCGGCAACCTTCAAGAATCTTACGTATCAAAAATACGTCGCTAATATTGTACCATCCATTTATTTTATGATGAAACGATAAACCCGAGATATACGTAGTAATTGTTCTCGGTGAGTAGAGTTTTTCAAAAGCAGTAGGTAACAAACCACATTATATGCTGTAGCGGTATGGGCCATACGGATTGAAGCTTATATAACCCTCTGAATGAATTGAAAGTATTAATTGCTGTATTGTATGCTAATCGAGTGTTAGAGGAAATCCCCGTGTATACCAGTTGTCTAGATCTAAGCTGAATATATTCCATAGATGGTCCGGCATTGGAGTCATGGTTGTGTCCGCTTGTGGAGCTAGCTCTCTGAACTTTTGGTTCTGAAATCGAGAGAGTGCATCGGCAATATTATTTTTTGACCCAGCGATATGAGACGCTTTTATCAAGCAATTGTGCCTTAAGCATTGCATGGTTAGTATCCTAACTAAGGATAATATAAGGGGAGACTTCGAAGTCATCGTGTTTAAAATGCACACCACTGATTGATTATCGCAATTAAAGCGTACTTTCTTGTTTTTAATTTTTGAGCCGAAAAGGACTGTAGCGATAACAATTGGAAAAAGTTCCAAAAGCGTAATATCTTTTGTCAAACTATTTTCTTTCCACGAAATTGGCCATTTACATTGGCACCAATGTCCCTTAAACCAAATACCGAAGCCTATACCGCCCGAGCTATCCGTAAATAATTGTTCATCATCGTTAGAGATCCAAAATCGATCATGAAACATTGAAATACCGTTATAATGCTTAAAAAATTCAAGCCATATTTTCAGATCACATTTCATTTCATTTGTTACTCTGATATGATGGTAAGAGCGTTTAACCCCGCATGTGGCGTCAATTAAACGCCTACAAAAAGGTCTGCCTACTACAATAGCCCGGCAACAAAAAATTAAGGGAACCTATTAATGACTGTATATTTTTTTAATTTTACCGACTTTTTTGTTAGGGTCGCGAGAATTTTTTCAACTACTTCCTGTATTTTTTCCCCCGGAATTCGGACTAACATTTGCCTGGAATTTAGTTCAAGACCTAAATATACTAATACTTGACACGGGCCTTCGGATTTCTCGTCTGCTAGCGGAACTCCGATTTCCTGCATACTTTCCGAGAAAATTTTCATGTTATTTTTACAGCTTTCAATGGAAGTGTCTCCTCCTAAAAAATCATCGAGATAATGAAGTAATTTCTTATTCGGAATTCTGCGTTTAATAATGTATTCCAAGAATGTTGAAAATTTTCGAACAGACTAGGTGAAATGCAGCAGCCGAAGGGTAAGCATTTGTCAAAATAATAACTGCCGTTAAACATAAAGCCCAGTAGTTCAAAATCGTCTGGATGAACAGGAAGCAGTCTGAACGCATTTTTTAATATCCATTTTAAATAAGTAACAATTTTGACCTAGATCTTGAACCATGTGTATTGCCTCATCAAATTCCGTGTATTTAACTGAACATAATTTTGGATCAATGAAGTCATTAACAGACGAACCTTCCGGATAGGATAAATGATGAATCAATCGAAAGTCCCCTATTGTTTTCTTTGGGACAATTCCGATCGGCGAGACTTTAAGGTTAATTAAAGGGAGGTAATTAAAAGGACCGGCAACTCTGCCTGCCTTTATTTCTTTTTTCTATTTTTTGTTGCGCTATATCAGGGTATTGGGTCACGGATTTTAGGTTTTTACAAAGCCGTGGTTCCCTTGGGCCCTCGTAATTTAGACGAAAACCATGTTTGAAACCCATTAACAGTATTTTAACATCCGAAGAATCATAGTTAATCAACCACTGTTGTAAACTTGGAATTTTAACTGGCGAATAAGCAATATCGTAGATATGTCCGTTATTAACGTCTATAGTAGCTCCTATGCGGTCTTGTATAGGGCATTGTGCGGCGAAAGGATCCACGTGTTTTGCCGTGAAATGAGTCCGTTTCTGCCGCACGAGGTTGGGGACTGAATTTCCCGCTGTTCGTGTCGTTTGCACTAAAGGAATTTTTTCTTGAATTAGGGACGCAGTTAACAAATGGATGTCCCTTGTTACAACTATAACATGCGTGTGTATACTTGCAATTCGGCCATTTGCATTGGCCTCTATTAAAGTCAATGCAGATATTTTGTGGTCGTGACTGTTTTTTCTGTTCGAAATTTAGTAATTGTGGATGATTTTTCTGTTCTCCACGAAGGGGCATACAACGTAACCATAAATCATGGTTAATATAAGACCATGATACAGGTGTTATTGCCTGTCGGCTTCTAAATTGTTGGTCGTAAATTTTCCAGAAAGTACCACCATGGACTGATGCGCATTCTCTTATAATGAAAAAATATTGCAGTAGCTCGTGAATTTTAAGCGGATGAGCCGAAAGATAAATGTCCATAAATATGATGAATGCGTCAGTCCATCTTTCTATAGAATTTATGTCATCTTTGCTTTCATTTTGTCGTGACTCAATTTTACCAGTATTGGAAATATATAATGTGCCAACGTTATTATAATCGGCCAACTCCACCGCACCCTTTAACAATAAAGACAAATTAATATATTCGCCTTTGCAAATACGTTGTTTTAAAGACGAAGGTACGTGCATAGCGATTTCGTCGCTAGTTTGCCTAAGTAATTCAACAGGATGAGGTGAAATGACATTTGAAACATTGTTTTGAACCTGTAATTCTGTATTATTTACATTATCGTAACTAATTTCGGTAGAGCGGCGAGTGATATTCTCATCACTGCATAACCTATCTGATGTACAAGCAGACGAAGTTGATGCCACGTGGCCGCCACGTGGAAGGATGTCAGATGCCCGTAAAATTTGTTCAAAATCAATAACTGAATGCGACTCACCTCTATCCACGTTGTCCTCGTTGTTATCAAAAGAGACCCTTTGTCTTTTAGGCTGTTGCTGCTGGCTGTCTTCTGCTCCATGGCTAGCATTCCTTGTTCGCCTTCTGCCTCGTGCACCTCTACCACGCCCTGGCATGTCGATTTTATTTTTTAACGTTTTTTGCTTACTGCTTTGTCGAGAAAAAGAGGGCGAATACCGAAATGATCGCCTTTATATATGACTTGATACGTCATAATGACTTACTTCTCCCGGCGCGAGATTTTGGGCGTGTACTTAAGGCCAGACTAAAATGCTTTATAGGTTATGGACATGTCACTGAGCCATAATAAAGTAGATTAATATTAAGAATTAATCTTGATTGTTCATTGAATATCTGCCTTTTACTCATAAACAAACCACATATTATCGTGTGTAGACATGTTATGTTACATGTTTTTTAGTATTCTTAATACCAGTATTCCTACACTTGAATATAACATTTTCTTGTACTGTAAATATCCATGTAAAAACTTATGTTGATTTGTAATAGCAATAAACAAGATGACTGCTTGCAGTGTTCACGCTCATCTGTTAATGACAATAACTATCTATAAACAATTTTGACAAAAAATTTCATATAGCTCGACTTTTTTTTTCTTAATAGACAAGCTAAAAATCAACATAAATAAAACCAGTTTATGTCTGCACCCTGCTGAGTGCTATTCTTTACTATTTATTTTTATTACAATTGTGCTTTGCTTCAGAAGATTTTAACTAAATTAATATAATTGAAAAATTACTTGCCATCAGATGAAAACTTTTAACAATTGTTTCAATAAATCAACTAGACCAATCATTTTATGATTTACCTGCCAGCATACAGCTATACAAGAGTGCTGGGAAATAGTGATGGAAGTAGAGAACTCTTGTCATAGGCCAGAATGGAAGGTAATGTAAACCCCAGCCAATCATTGCCCACCAGCACGCACTAAATGTACGCTCCTTAAATTCTGAATAAAAAAATATGGAGAATTAATACATATATAATTATGTAAACTAGCACATGTACAGAATGACACATAAAATTAAGAGAACACCAAAAAGAGAGTGGAGATCACCAAAGAATGCAGCCTTCTAAAATATCCAGCCACAGACAGCCAATAAACAGTTTTAACATGTAAATGATGAAATGATATTGATACTCAAGGGAGATCGGGGGTGGTGTCTATCTTGGAACAACCCCCACAAATGCTGAAAAAAAATGTTTCAGAGACACCTGAACTTAACAAAACTAAACACAAGTTGTTTTCTTCTTCTTCTTCTTAACTAAATGTTAGTAATTTAAAACCAATTTATATCATTATTATACACAAAAGACTTCTTCTACCAGTTAAACAAAGACAAACGTTAATAAACATTTACCTGCAACTTCTTTTGATGTTTTCACTCCCCTTTGAACTTTCATAGAATGTACCAGGTAAATGACCAGAAATAAGGGCATTATCACCAACAGTCCAAAAAATATCACAGGGTTGCCTAGGAGATACACCCTATGGTCGTTTCCAGAGAAAACCTGACCCTAAAATAAATACAACATACTTCAATCATTTTATCATAAATATAAAATATAGTAAGTGCTGAACAGTTTTGTAACTGGAATTTACTTTAAATTTTCATTACAGATTTAAAGGGACTCCACTGAGGTTTTTTGACATGATGGGACTGAAAATATTTTTTCCAGGTAAAAGGACAATTTGATGTAGGTTTATGCAACTAACCTTTGTGCAAAATTTCAGATCATTCGCGCACTTTGTTTTTCCAGAATAATTATTCAAATTATAAATACATGACCCAAAATGAAAAGCGTTTAAATGCTTTTCACTCAAATCGGGCTAAGAAAAGCATAAAAATACGATTTTCAATTTATTTCAAAGTATATGTTTTAACTATCTTTGCATATATTTCTTATTAAAGTGCCCAGGCTCATTTATGTAAGACATTCAAATGTTATGTTTTTAGGCTATTAAACCTCAGTGGAGTCCCTTTAACTTATACCAGCACAACTTACAAAATGAAACACAATGTAACTTAGGTCACATTTACAGATAACTGTCTCAAGGTGCCCTTCTTTGCAACTAGCAGTGCAGGGCAAAATTATGAACTTAGCATATTGCCAGGTATGAGCCATTGAAGTGTGACTGTACAAAATAATTGACATAAGATGCAGTATACTAAGCAACAGGGAAAGATTTATATTATTACTTAAGTTGCTGTCATTTATTACATTTTTTGTTAAATTTATGAAATTACTTCTTTTGGTTGTTGTTTTCTTTGCATTTACATGTTACTGGGTAGAAATTTTGACCAGAATTTTTCCTAATTTTTAAGTAAATGGACAACTGCATAAGTGATTCCTAAATTCTATTATATCAAATTTACAATTATAACTAATTCAGAGAATGTATCAATATTAAATTTATAGACAGAATGTATGCATATCAGGAGATCTTACTTTCCAGTTTATAGGCCACTGCCATGGTCTTGATGTTACCTCTCCTTCCTTAGGTTTCAGTCCAGCATTTCCCTGAAAAATTCATTATTAAATTAAAACTTAGCACTCGACAATCATATTATGTTGAAATCCAGGAAATTGAGGATGTTTAACTTTATATCAAATTTATTTCTAAAATATAAATATATTATTAAATTTCTAAAATAATACAGCAAACTTGTTTGTGTAGAATGATCAAATGAATTTTTATAGTCTAAAAACAAAACTTTTCAGTTTGCTTCTGTTTCTTTGCACACATTATTTCTAATTCAACTGAATGAAAATGACAATAAGTTTGTTTTAAAGTTATTACCCATTTGTTTACAAGTGGTGCTAAGATGTATACAAATGGAAAATATACTTCACCTGTGTCATAACAGCATGACTTTCTATAAACATGTCCAAGAACGATGGTTTGTACACTTCAAAACTTACATTAGGCACTGAAATATAGAATAGCAATATAATGACAACTTATAAATTTAGGTGAATTTATATCCCATATTAATTAATATCCTCTTAAAGCAGCATGCTTCCAGATCCATGCCAATTTTCATGAAAATTTTGAATATGTATTAAAAAGTAAAATATTGTCAAGTGAACAAAGTAAGTAATTTGCACATTGCAAACAGCACTTTAAATCCATATGTATTACCAAAAAGAGGTTAAAATATGCAAAAATAGCCCTTCCTGCATTAGCTAAGATAGTATGGTGATAAAATACTACATGTAAATTATTACTTGAATCTTTAATCATTTTCCTTTTCTTAAAATCTTAGTACATTTTTCTCAAATTTGATTTTCTTTATCTGGAGGCCTGCAGCTTTAATTAACATCCCTCTGGCCACACACACACACATGCGCGAGTGCACACATGCACGCACACACACTACATGAATTTCCCTCTAAATATATATTCCCTCTAATATGATATTCTTCTAAATTAAATTCATCATCCTTCAGAATTGATATATCCCTGTAAAATGATATCTCCTATAGACTTATATCCCTCTGAAATATTATTCCTCTTAATTAAATATCCTAATTGACATTTTCCCTTTGAACTGTTCCATGTATCTCCTGTAAACTCCCATCTTCCCTAAACTTTTAAATCTTTTTTACACACTATTTAAACACTTGCATCTTTGTTATCTTTATAAAACACTTACATCTTTGATCTCTGATCTCCTCTACGCTCCATAATGTTTTACTGTCTTTTGTGTCAGGGTTACAAGTCACTTCTTGCTGCTCAAAGCCCCTGAGAAATATAAATAATCCACAGCATCTATATTATTCTAACTACTTGCCCATATCATAACAAAAGATAACATATAGATAAGTTATTATCATTCTGAAGCAAACAACAATAACTGATATTTAGAATATAAAACAAGCAAATAACAAGAACTGTCAGTAGGACAGCTCGTTTAGCTTTTCTCAAAGTGTGATAGTCTCAAAGAGCTGGGACAATATAGGAATTCAGAAAGAGAAAAATTTCATTAATAATGCACGGCATAGTTATGAAATTTGGAAAGTGACCTACAATTAGGATCTAAAACACAAGTATGAAGCTTCAAATGAACAACTAAAGTAATTTTATAGACTGATCAAGCATACACAACTTTAATCAGAAATTTTGTACTTTGTAAGTTTCACTTGAATATAATATATTTTTTCTTAAGTTTAATTTTTTGAATATTTATGTCTACTCATCTACAGGAATCCCACTTTAAGGAATGCAATGATTATACATTGTACTCAAGACAAACCCACTAATTTACACACATACACAATGCTAAAACAATTGCTCTCCAAATTTTCCGTAGAGTGTCATAAATAAAGAAAAATAAAATATTCACCATTTTGGTAACTTTTTGTCATGAGCATAGAGAGCACATTTCACATGGTAGTGTATGAGCTTAAACTTGGACTGTACAACTTTAATCTGAGCTCCTTCCACAGCCCCAGGAACAACAATCTGCCATATATCATTGGCATCACCTCTACCATCCTGTAAATATATATAGTTATATAAACATAAATAGTAATGTAAACATACAGAATATAGTCATGTAAACATATAAAGTAATGCAAACATATATAGTAATGAAAACATTTATAGTAATGAAAACATAAATAGTAATGAAAACATATATAGTAATGAAAACATAAATAGTAATGAAAACATATATAGTAATGAAAACATATATAGTAATGAAAACATATATAGTAATGAAAACATATATAGTAATGAAAACATAAATAGTAATGAAAACATATATTGTAATGAAAACATAAATAGTAATGAAAACATATATAGTAATGAAAACATATATAGGAATGAAAACATATATAGTAATGAAAACATATATAGTAATGAAAACATAAATAGTAATGAAAACATATATAGTAATGAAAACATATATAGTAATGAAAACATAAAATAGTAATGAAAACATAAATAGTAATGAAAACATATATAGTAATGAAAACATAAATAGTAATGAAAACATATATAGTAATAAAAACAAATATAGTAATGAAAACATATATAGTCATGAAAACATATATAGTAATGAAAACATAAATAGTAATGAAAACATAAATAGTAATGAAAACATAAATAGTAATGAAAACATATATAGTAATGAAAACATAAATAGTAATGAAAACATATATAGTAATGAAAACATAAATAGTAATGAAAACATATATAGTAATGAAAACATAAATAGTAATGAAAACATAAATAGTAATGAAAACATAAATAGTAATGTAAACATACAGAATATAGTCATGTAAACATATAAAGTAATGCAAACATATATAGTAATGAAAACATATATAGTAATGAAAACATAAATAGTAATGAAAACATATATAGTAATGAAAACATATATAGTAATGAAAACATATATAGTAATGAAAACATAAATAGTAATGAAAACATATATAGTAATGAAAACATATATAGTAATGAAAACATATATAGTAATGAAAACATATATAGTAATGAAAACATATATAGTAATGAAAACATATATAGTAATGAAAACATATATAGTAATGAAAACATAAATAGTAATGAAAACATAAATAGTAATGAAAACATATATAGTAATGAAAACATAAATAGTAATGAAAACATATATAGTAATAAAAACAAATATAGTAATGAAAACATATATAGTCATGAAAACATATATAGTAATGAAAACATAAATAGTAATGAAAACATATATAGTAATGAAAACATAAATAGTAATGAAAACATATATAGTAATGAAAACATAAATAGTAATGAAAACATATATAGTAATGAAAACATAAATAGTAATGAAAACATATATAGTAATGAAAACATAAATAGTAATGAAAACATAAATAGTAATGAAAACATAAATAGTAATGAAAACATATATAGTAATGAAAACATAAATAGTTATGAAAACATATATAGTAATGAAAACATAAATAGTAATGAAAACATATATAGTAATGAAAACATATATAGTAATGAAAACATATATAGTATTGAAAACATATATAGTAATGAAAACATATATAGTAATGAAAACATATATAGTAATGAAAACATATATAGTAATGAAAACATATATAGTAATGAAAACATATATAGTAATGTAAACATATATAGTAATGAAAACATAAATAGTAATGAAAACATAAATAGTAATGAAAAACATATATAGTAATGAAAACATAAATAGTAATGAAAACATAAATAGTAATGAAAACATAAATAGTAATGAAAACATATATAGTAATGAAAACATAAATAGTAATGAAAACATAAATAGTAATGAAAACATATATAGTAATGAAAACATATATAGTAATGAAAACATAAATAGTAATGAAAACATATATAGTAATGAAAACATAAATAGTAATGAAAACATAAATAGTAATGAAAACATAAATAGTAATGAAAACATATATAGTAATGTAAACATATATAGTAATGAAAACATAAATAGTAATGAAAACATATATAGTAATGAAAACATATATAGTAATGAAAACATAAATAGTAATGAAAACATAAATAGTAATGAAAACATAAATAGTAATGAAAACATATATAGTAATGAAAACATATATAGTAATGAAAACATATATAGTAATGAAAACATAAATAGTAATGAAAACATATATAGTAATGAAAACATATATAGTAATGTAAACATATATAGTAATGGAAACATATATAGTAATGCAAACATAAACAAGATATGTTTGTAAAACATGTATGCCCCCTATCAGCAGCCAATTAGTCATGTGATAAGATTATTATGCATGACTTCTGACCCAGTGATCAAACAATTAAGAAGGGTTATCAAGTATCTACTGGTCATGACCTTAACCTTTGACCCCTTGACCCAAAACTCAATAGGGGTCATCTGCTGGTCACGACCAATCATCATACAAAGTTTGAAGTTCCTAGGCCTAAGCGTTTTTAATTAAATGATCGGAAACCGTTTTTACCTTCAAGGTCAATGTGACCTTGACCTTTGACCCCTTGACCCAAAACTCAATAGGGGTCATCTGCTGGTCATGACCAATTATCATAAAAAGTTTGAAGTTCCTAGGCCTAAGCTTTTTTAGTTAATTGATCGGAAACCGTTTTTACCTACAAGGTCAATGTGACCTTGACCTTTGACCCCTTGACCCCAAAATCAATAGGTCATCTGCTGGTCATGACCTATCACCATACCAAGTTCGAAGTTCCTAGGCCTTAGGGTTCTTAAGTTATTTATTGAAAGCATTTTTACCTACAAGGTCAATGTGACCTTGCCCTTTGACCCCTTAACCCCAAAATCAATAGGGGTCATCTGCTGGTCATGACCAATCACCATACAAGTTTGAAGTTTCTAGGCCTAAGGGTTCTTTAGTTATTTATCGGAAACAATTTTTACCTACAAGATCAATGTGACCTTGACCTTTGACCCCTTAACCCCAAAATCAATAGAGGTCATCTGCTGGTCATGACCAATCACCATACCAAGTTTGAAGTTCCTATGCCTTAGGGTTCTTTCGTTATTGATCAGAAACCGTTTTTACCCAAGAGGTCAATGTGACCTTGACCTTTGACCCCTTGTCCCCAAAATCAATAGGGGTCATCTACTGATCATGACCAATCACCATATCAAGTCTGAAATCCCTAGGCTTAAGGGTTCTTTCGTTATTGATCGGAAACAGTTTTTACCTACAAGATCAATGTGACCTTGACCTTTGACCCCTTAACCCCAAAATCAATAGGGGTCATCTACTGATCATGACCAATCACCATATCAAGTTTGAAATCCCTAGGCCTAAGGGTTCTTTCGTTATTGATCGGAAACAGTTTTTACCTACAAGATCAATGTGACCTTGACCTTTGACCCCTTAACCCCAAAATCAATAGAGGTCATCTGCTGGTCATGACCAATCACCATACCAAGTTTGAAGTTCCTATGCCTTAGGGTTCTTTCGTTATTGATCAGAAACCGTTTTTACCCAAGTGGTCAATGTGACCTTGACCTTTGACCCCTTGACCCCAAAATCAATAGGGGTCATCTACTGATCATGATCAATCACCATACCAAGTTTGAAGTTCCTAGGCCTTAAAGTTCTTTAGTTATTGATCGGAAACCGTTTTTGCTTTCAAGGTCAATGTGACCTTGACCTTTGACCCCTTGACCCCAAAATCAATAGGGGTCATCTACTGATCATGATCAATCACCATACCAAGTTTGAAGTTACTAGGCCTTAAAGTTCTTTAGTTATTGATCGGAAACCGTTTTTGCTTTCAAGGTCAATGTGACCTTGACCTTTGACCCCTTGACCCCAAAGTCAATAGGGGTCATCTACTGATCATGACCAATCACCATACCAAGTTTGAAGTTCCTAGGCCTTAAAGATCTTTAGTTATTGATCGGAAACCGTTTTTGCTTACAAGGTCAATGTGACCTTGACCTTTGACCCCTTGACCCCAAAATCAATAGGGGTCATCTACTGGTCATGACCAATCACCATACCAAGTTTGAAGTTCCTAGGCCTAAGGGTTCTTTAGTTATCACTCGGAAACCATTTGGTCTACGGACCGACGGACCGACAAGTGCAAAGCAATATACCCCCTTTTCTTCGAAATGGGGGCATAATAATAATGAAAACATATATTGTAATGAAAACATAAATAGTAAACAAGATATGTTTGTAAAACATGTATGCCCCCTATCAGCAGCCAATTAGTCATGTGATAAAGTTATTATGCATGACTTCTGACCCAATGATCAAACAATTAATAAGGGTTATCAAGTATCTACTGGTCATGACCTTAACCTTTGACCCCTTGACCCAAAACTCAATAGGGGTCATCTGCTGGTCACGACCAATCATCATACAAAGTTTGAAGTTCCTAGGCCTAAGCGTTTTTAGTTAATTGATAGGAAACCGTTTTTTACCTACAAGGTCAATGTGACCTTGACCTTTGACCACTTGACCCCAAATCAATAGGTCAGCTGCTGGTCATGACCAATCACCATACCAAGTTTGAAGTTCCTAGGCCTAAGGGTTCTTTAGTTATTGATTGGAAACCGTTTTAACATACAAGGTCAATGTGACCTTGACCTTTGACCCCAAAATCAATAGGGGTAATCTGCTGGTCATGACAAATCACCATGCCAAGTTTGAAGTTCCTAGGCCTAAGTGTTCTTAAGTTATTGATCAGAAACCGTTTTTACTTACAAGGTCAATGTGACGTTGACCTTTGACCCCTTGACCCAAAACTCAATAGGGGTCATCTGCATGTCACAACCAATCATCATACAAAGTTTGAAGTTCCTAGGCCTAAGCGTTTTTAGTTAATTGATTGGAAACCGTTTTTTACCTACAAGGTCAATGTGACCTTGACCTTTGACCCCTTGACCCCAAAATCAAAAGGTCATCTGCTGGTCATGACCAATCACCATACCAAGTTTGAAGTTCCTAGGCCTAAGGGTTCTTTAG